CCCATGAAAATTATAGCAGCTTTATTCTTCTCTTTTAACCATTCTCAATTCTTAGCCATATATATCATTGTGTTACCAGAGAGCCAATTGAGATCTCTTTAAAAGTTCTGTGCCATGGACCAGGTTACGTTCGAATATTCCTGGTGCCTCAAAAAAAAAAACGCGACTTTTCTGAATGATCGAAATAATTCTCAGACTCTGTTCCGTTTATATTGTAAAATCACAATAAAATTGTATATTATATAATTAACAACTATACACACGCAGTTTAAAAATTGTAGATATTTTTCATCGACGCAAAGTTACAATGTGATGCAATGATTTTGTTCATGTAGATATCGCGAAGTATAAAAGAGGATTTTGTGTGAATAGGTTTTTTCTAAAACTGATTCTTTGTAAAAGGATCTAATAATCATAGTTTCTATCAATCTTGTTGTTTTTAGTATTTTTACAGCCCTGTATAAGACTATATGTAAATAAGGAACATAGGAACAGAAAAGGAAATAAGAGAAAAATATGTGTATGTGTGTATATACATATATATATGTATATACACACATATATAGAAATTTTTTATATATGGTCAAATAAAACTTCACTTTGCTTTAAAAACGTTCGTCTCAACGATAAGGATTTGCATATAAATTTGAATTTACTCAGATAAAACTCAGAACCAAGTGTATATGTATATACACATACCTTATAGAAAAGTAACAAAGACAAACATTCTGAAAAATTAAGTCGATATTCTAAAATATGTATTTTATATTAGAGGAACACATCTCCCTCAAACTGTTGTACTTACATGGTTAAAAAAATTCTTTTTGTCTTTGTCCGTTTATATATATATATAAAGTTATTTAATTAAATCCTATGATCCATTTTTAGTACTCCAAATACGCGACTAAAGAAATACTATCAATTAAAAAAAAATTATTACATTAACTCTTTTTACAAATATTCTTTATCTTATAATAGTCTGAATGATGTAAATGTTACAATTAGTTCATATATAATAACTTGAAGTGTTAACTAGTTTATAATAACTTGAGGTGTAACTACGAAAGATCATCAATACATGTGTTGCAAAATTAGTATATTTCAAAAGTGTGCTTTCGACGAAATATAAAGTTATTGTGATATTTATAAACAAGTTTACGATCGCCATTTGCAAACGTATCATAATCATTATTAAAACGAAATCGTTTATTTTTTTTTTAGTGCAATAATGCAATTATACGACAATGTTGATCATGTTCAGTTCGATATCATATATATATTTACACATCGCGATAAAAAACTGTTATCGAGAACTACTCGAACTGGACCTTGTGTATCGACGGTGTCGATGTCGAGGGTTTCCTGGTGGACTCCGTGATCGAGTTCTTATTCTACGTCGTGGTGGTCGTGGACTTCTACGGCGATTCATAAGCGGTGAACGTCTACGATAACGTGGTGGTGTGTTTCTACCACCACCTCCCCATCGTGGTGGCGCGCGTCTTCCCATACCCGGCGACATACGTCGCATTGGCAACGGTCGAGGCTTCGGTAATAATACTGGAGCAGCCGTGATTTCTTGACCATCTATTTGGCCTGTCAATAGATCAATGCAAAATGCATTAGTATGACAATAAAGTAACTCACTTGACAGTGCATATTGCTACTTGAATAAATGACGTTCGCAATACTAGCGAGCTTTATTTATTCTCGTTTATTTGATAAACAAAGCTAAATTGCGCGATTTCAAGAACACTGCAAATGCTAAATGGAACACAACAAAATAATATCGATATTAATTGCGTTTTACCTCCATCCATATGTTTCATGGCGTTTTCGGCTTCATCTGCAGTTTCGAATTCGACATAAGCAAATCCTCTTCCTTGATTCGGATGAAGTTTATCTAATGCATAGTCGACCATCTTTATTTGACCATATACTGAAAATATCTCTACGACATGTTCTTTGGTAACGTTTCGCGTTAAATGACCAATATGTATTTTTGTTGGTCTAGGAATCGGTGAACGCTCCCTACGCTTCCTACGTGGAGAGGGAGATCTATAAAATAAAGAAAATTATTAGAGTAAATTATTAATTAATTACAAATAAAAGAGAAAAAATTCAAGTCAACTTTATAATGCATATAATACCTGGATCGTCCTTTTTGTTTGATCTTATCAGGAACAGTATTGTTTCCCTTCTTCCTTTCCTTTTCACGATCTCTGTCCTTGTCTCTATCACTTTCCCTTTCCCTTTCCTTTTCTCTCTCCTTTTCTTTATTGTCATGTCTGCGTGAAGCATCAGCGCTTTTGCTACGACTTCTTTTTCTTCCTCGATCTCTGGAACTGGCTGAAGAGCTAGGTGAACTACTCGATGAGCTACTAGAAGAAGAGCTTGATCTGGAACTGCTGCCACTGCTAGAGCTTGAAGATCCAGAACTACTATCTGATGAGCTATCAAATATAAATTTTATACATATTCATCAATAAAATAATAACTGAATAGTGTGTGCATTTAGAATGTTACAGCAATGATCAAAGAAAAAAGTTCTAATTTCTATCTCTGCAAAAGCTTTAGAATATGAAAAACTACTTCACTAAGTAGAACCAAATGATCAGAAATCCATATAAATTAATTATTAAATTTAAATTAATGTATTTTTTACATTTTGACTATTACCTAGAACCACTACTGGAAGAAGAAGCCGCTCGTTTTTTTCGTTCTTTCTCTCTATTTTTCTCCTTCTTGTTCTCCTTGTCTGTAGTTTCGGAGTCGCTCTTACCAGTGCTGTCTTTTCGGCTTCGGGCCCTAAATAACAAACAGTGAATGCAGAGTAAACAAAAACAGAAAGAAAATTAAAATTCATACAAATATTACGTAATTATTGATTGCATGTAATGGAATAACTTACATAATTAGCGACGAGACTTTATTGACTCCCGGGATGAAAGATCTCAACTCTAAGACGAAGCCGGATGGCACGCCAATCGTACTAGCCGTACGCACGCCAGAAATGGCGGATTGGATGCCGGGATATCAAGCCGACGTTATTTATGCTGCTTTATTATGCTTCTATCACAAGTAATGCATCCGGCACGCACGAAATGATGCTAATCGTAAGAGAGAGCGTCCAGACGAGAGCTTAATCGCACAACGCTACCACGCGCCCGAATTATCTTATTAAAACACCTTGGTCACATAAGAACGAGCAATTCGCTTATCACAAGAAACTGTCATGGCGCTAATGTCGCCAAAATCCGCCATCGACTATCCAAAATCTAACCAGAGAGAAACAACTTGAGAGAGGACAGGAGGGCTTTTTCCTATAACCGCTAAATGCTTGTGGCGACCGCCACCAGAGGTCCAACGGGACTCGCGCCAATAGGAAATCTTTTCATATAGAAACTCACAATCTAAAGGTACTTTTTCATACGCAGCACGCTGCAGCAGCAATTCGTTACTATTGGTTAAGAATTGTATG